TCTCAGTGCATTGGATTATTTCATTTTCTAAATCTAAAATTTGGGGAAAAAAATTAGATTTCTATTTGCAAAACCTTTTATGTCCTACTGGTGGGTTGACGGAGAAAAAATTCTGAACATTTTCAACAACAAAACAGCAGAAAATAGAAAAATGTCATAAAACACAAAGTCCAACCATATTCATAGAGACTAAACATACCATATACAGATGAAAAGGCCTGTCATGATGTTGTTTATCATACCAATTAATTGTTTGCTTGACGATTAATTGTCCAGTAAATTATTGCGTTACGTGATAGTATTGGTGTTTTGAGGCCATTCTATACTGATTTAATGACAATAGCATAATGATGCAAGTTCACCCTCACAAAAACCATGAAACTCTTCACATTGAAACTAGGAGATATGTCAAATACCCAAAATAAAACATTTACAACCAAAATAATAAATATAATGGACTGTGATGTCTCTGTAAACAAAATGCGAATAATCAGGCTGGAAATTATCAAGCTCATTTTAATTGTGATTACTGAATAGTTTATCATTACGGCAGGCTTACCCATATCAGACATTTATTTATGAATTGCTTCAAAATCACAAGTTTTCATAAATCTTCGTGTTGGCTAGGAGCTCTGTAACTCAGACTTCAGATGGGTTTCTTTCCACAAGCTTATTGTAATAATTTGCCTGAATACTGGAACATTCTCCTGACAGACCTGAACAGAGAGACTAACCCTTCATAGTCTCTCTGTTTCAGATCAAAACATTATTTCTTTAATGGCTCTGAAAAGTCACAAATTAAAAGTCTACTCTGTTCTGTTTTGAATGGGCCTCATCAAGAGGTGAAATGAGTTCTGTTTGTGTTTGGGGAATGAGAGCTGGGACAGAGAATTACCCAGCCCCTCCTTCCACTGCCACTGTTTTGAAGGCAGAGTAGTTTAAAAGGCCTCATGCGTTTGTGAAATCTTCATTAGTTGGGTATAAAACCGTGAATAGACGGTACTATTTTGATCTGTGGCAAAAGTTCATGGTGTTAGCAGGATAAACCACTGTGAGCGCTGCACTGCTGAGAAATAACACAATTACCAGTAAGGTATCAACAAGAAGGCACTGTTCTTATTAAACTGTTCTGGTTTAACAAGTAGGAGCAGCAGTGTAGCTCTCCAAAGACTGTTTAAGCTTCTGGTTTCATTTGGAGGAAACAGAACTAATGCCTGGTGACGGGCACTAATTGCTTTCACTAGCGTGTTTGTTGTTGCTGTTGATGTATTTTTAGATTCATACGGCTGTGTTCACACTGCAGCCTGACGTGACCCAATTCTGATATATTTATTTATTTATTTATTAATGTGACCTGCGTCTGATCTTTTCATGGCAGTCTGAACAATACAGGTCAGAATTTTTTCGATTTGCATATCCGATGGCCAACGGCTCACATTCTTCCAACTTGAACGTCATTGATGCTCGACAGACGACACTATCCTGCGTCCTGATACGCTCAAGCTGGAAGAAAAACAACAATCATGGCGGACTCTTCTCAGTTGATAATTCTCCTGCCACTTTTCAGCCAACATGTCCTCCTTTATGTGCATTTTCAACTTTGTACAGTCATCGCATGTTTTCCTGACATTTTTAGTGTCAAACTGATTTCTTTTTGAAATAGACGTTGTTAAAAATCTGACATGGAGTCTTTATTTACTCTCTCAAAGCTCAACTCATGGATGAGCTTCGAGAGTCTAGAGAACACTTTCAGCAGTGACCTATACAGATTGAGTCTTTTACAGAGCTCAGCTGACATTTGGAGCATTCAAAACTGGAAAACAACAGATAAAAACTCCCAAAGCAAATTAAACCTGAATTTGTCTTGGTGTGCTTGTAAGCAGCTTATAGCAAATTAGATTTGGCTGCAGTCGCTTTCCTCTAATAGAAGCAGGACTGTAGCAGTAAATAAGGAACACAGAGGTTGTATTGTAAAAGCAGATCTACTTCCAAGGAGTATGTCTGACAATGTTTCAAACTACATGAATACTAGGGATCTTGTTTTTTTTAAAAAAGGGGTTTTCAAAGAAATAAACTGGGCTTAATTTGCATTTTTTTTTTCACACACTGAGCCATAAATTATGCAAACCAGGTGGGAACATTCAGTTTTATCTTCTAAACATTTTTAATCAAATTATTTTCAATCACACTTTGTCTTTTTTTTTTTTTGCTAGATTCAGTATATTTTTCATCAGTTTTGAACTGTAGAGTGCACTCAGACCAGCACTATTTGTATTTATTTTGTTTGTTTTTTTCGCTTCAATTGAACTCAAAAAATCCATTCAGAAAATTGACTTTATTTGAGGAAATAAGCTTAATTCTGACAGAAACCAAGAAAATGAACGTTGGCCCACACAGAGGCCCTGGTTTTGGGCCGGTTGAAGTTAATTCTGGTATATGTAAACACCAAGCGGACCAGAGACCACTGCAAAAACAGGAAGTGGACTACAGTGCAGGGCATTTTGGGTAAATACAACCAAAACAAACAGGAGAAGTGTCACATGGGTTGTTGTTTTTTTACCAACAACAAAAGAGAAATCCTAGAACACGCTGCGTCCCTGTTCTAAAAATTGGTCTACCTCTCCATTACAAGGGCTGACATCAAGTTTTTGATCTCAAGTCCAGCTCGAGTCTTTAATCTCAAGTTTTTGATCTCAATTCCTTGATCTCAGATCTCAAGTCTTTGATCTAAAATCCAAGTCAAGTCTCAGGTCTTTGATTCCGAGTCTCCAAGATTCCAAGTCTTCAAGTCTCGAGTCCCCAAATTTGCAAACTAGACATGCCTAATTCAAAGTAACCTAAATTCCCTTTGTGTCCCTTTCGACAGCTCTCTTCGAACATTAGTAAGTTGTCTTTACCACGTTTAGATGTCTAATTGAATTTGGTTGCTGCCATGGGATTGGTTTATTCAATATTTCTGCCCCATGCATCCTCTTGACCTTTCTGAATGACCAAACTGAAATAACGGTGGATTAAGCCGAGTTTTTGTGTCCAGCCATGAATCGGCAGTCTGTGGGCGTTCAGGGGGAAAGGGTCACCGTCAGGTCAGCACTCTTCCCACTGAATATGTTCTTAAATATCAAGTAGTGTTAGAAATATCCTCATGGAAAATCTTGCACCGTGACGGCCGCTGTGATCTATGCTTTTTCATCATCCTTCTTCTAAGCTATGAGCTCTTCCTCAGCTATATCCCTGTCCTGCCTCTCCTCTTCCTCTGTATACAACTCTAGTTTAATAATAAGAGCATTAGCAGAGGATATTGCTGACATTTCTGTTGGAAATTTGGATGTGACTGGCTGGTACAAAAAAAACAAGACTGGCTGGTACATTTTGGGGGCGTTTATTATTATTGAAATTGTTCCATGTGTGCCAGCTAATAAATACCACGTTTTTATCACAGGATATTAGCTGAAGTCTTTTAGCACTTAACAGGGGTGTGAATGATGTCTTTGTAGCTCCACTGCTGTTTCGCGCTCATTAATTATTTATAACTGGATTGGAGGCATCAGCAGGTGAGCTATCACAGTAAAACATGACTTTAAATGTTCGTTATGAGAACAGGATTGAAGGCTAACAGATAAACCAGGGCAGCGTAGCAGCCTGTGAACAGAAAGTGCAGCAGTTCTGGGCTTGTTCTCTCAAAGATTGTCAGAACATCAAGTTAAAAGTTGAAAAAAACTGAAATGATGCTACACTGGAGAGGAGAATGTAGCAGAGACATAGAAGAAGCAGTGGTCATGAATAAATCTTAGTTTGCAATCATATTTAATAAGTGATTGCATAAACTGACCTCATTCAACAGTGGTCCAGCCAATAGGTGCCATCTTCCTAGATGAGTTTACTGGAAATTACCTGAGTGCATTCAATGTTTCTCAGGACACCCGGTTCTGATAGGTCCATCCACTGTTCACCAGTATCCCTGGCTACCATTACAACACAAAATCAATAGAACAGTCCAAGCAAATCAGAAAAAAAGTATTGTATAGTATAAGTCAGGGGATGGAGATAAAAACATGAATTCAAGGCCCTGAACATCCCCTGGAGTTCAGTTAAATTCATCACTAAGAAAAATCTACCCAGATCAGATCGTCCTCACAAACATTTGAGTGACCATGAAGAAGAGGACACCAGGTTACCATGACTACGTTGAAGGAGTCACAAGCTGAAATGGAGAATCTCTGGGGATGTTGTCAAGGTTCTTCACCAGGCGAAGCTTTGTGGGAAATACTTTGCAAAAAGGTCAACAAAGTCTTTGTAAAATGGCAAACTTCAACGCAGACAGAACTCAGGTTGATTCTGTGTTGACTTTTTCTTTGGTTTGCTGGTATGGAAAACAAGACAATCTTGAATCTCGAAATGTAAAATTGTTTCTCTGCATATTTTGATGGTTATGGTTATAAAACTGATAAACAGCCATAATCAGGTGGTTACTTATTAGGGTAATCATCTCAAAGAACAAGAAAAAGGGAAATAATGTAATGTTTTTAGAAAACTTTTTACAATAAAATGAAAATAAAACTTTTTTTTACATGATTATTGCTCCTCATATTTCATAAATAAAATGTAGCCTCTTAAGTCCCCTGGTAAGAAGTGAGCAGAATGGGTTGAAGTGGCACCACATGAGGACAAATTATCCAGGGACAAAGAGTGGGAGTCCTTCTGGGAGGCGACTCATGGATGAATAATTATGCCTTAAGGAGCTAATTGTAACTGTAATAAACTGAATGCTTAACATCACTGAATTCGCTCTTCCCTGAACTTAAAACATAAAACTCACTACAGTGTGCAGTTTGGATCCCAGCCGGTCCACAGCTTCAAAACAGGTCAGCTTGACCCAGTTCGGAGACCTTAGATAACATTCAACTAGTTCAACTTTTAGGGGCATAGAGTTTGCTCTTGCTGGATACCAGCATGTGAATTACTAACGGATTGATTTGTCTCCGTCCCTTTCCATCATGCAGCTCTCCGTCCAACTTGCCGTGCTCCCGTCCCGCGGTTCCCGTTCACGGATTCCTCTGGTTGGCTGTTGAGAAGGCTGCCGGCGAATGCTGAGCAGGTCGACCTGTCTGAGGTACGCCTCCCGGCTCTGCGATTGGTCGCTGGATGCTACTGAAGTTGAACGGCAACGATGTTCGACAAGCAGGAGAGCAATTCATCAGAGAGCGATGAGAAAGGGTAAGGCAGGTTGTTTGAGAGATTAGAGTGCAATGAATTGTTGAGTAGAAATAAAGTGTATCTGAAAAAGTCTCAATGAATATCCCAAGGTAATTCAGAAATAAACTAGGTCCTTCACTCTTTTTGGTAGAAAATTATCCCGTTTTAGTAGTTAGCATAAAGAAAATTTTTAAGTGCAAACTAGTGCATGAGGTTGTTCAAACTTGCTGCTAAGTATTTAACATTTTATTTTTTTCAGAAAATTAAAACTCTGAGCAGATTATAGAGAAGTTTCTCTGACCTGCTGGAAAGCTTTTTAAAAATCTTTTTAAAAGGCTTACAAGCAATGAAGAAAATGTCATTTTTAATTTATTGGAAATGCTGATTTTTTGTTTTGTTTTGTTTTATTTATTTTTTTTGGACTACACATAAGAATTGGGCTAAGATGAAAACAAGAATGATGGGTTTCTGGTGGTGAAATCTTTATAAACCTTGGCAGTCATTAGCTGTGTTCCCATTGACCTGCTTAATGAAAAAGGCAGCAAAAGACACAGCTAACTAATTTTGTTGATAGGACAAGGTGTTTTTTTAGGCAGTATCAAAATTTGTTTATTTCACAAAACTTCAGTGGAAATATTTTATTTTTTTGCGACACACGAGTTATGTTATGTTAACATTATGTTAATATAACATTATGTTATGTTAACATAATGGTGGGGGATTATAGACAAAGTTTTACATATTTGTAATGGGAATGCTGCTGCTGTGGGTTGGTATTTCAAATATCTAGGTCACCACAGCTGAATAATTTTGTCTGAGCTTTGAACTTAACCTTTTCCTCCGGGGTAAATGTTGCCATGAAGCATATCCACAAATACTTTTTGAAGTTTATTTTAAGAAAGTAGGACATCTACAAACAGTTCCACTGTGGTTGATTGGTTGGTTGGTTGGTTGGTTGGTTGGTTGGTTGGTTGGTTGGTTGGTTGGTTGGTTGGTTGGTTGGTTGGTTGGTTTGGAACAAGGGAAACTGGTTTCTTATGTTTGTGTTTGATGGTCACCGCTTCCAGATAGTTAGCAGAATGAGCTTCTTTATCCAACATCTTCCTTCAATGAAGGCAAACTGTCTCCCCATGTGAGACAAAGATCTGTTCCCACAGGCTCTGAAGACGAACACTTCAAAGCTGTGTGGGTTTTGCTGAGTCTCTTTCTTCAGGCAGAGTCCTGGAGCAGCTTGGTTTTTCTGACTGTATAGCACGCTAGCTACATGTTCACACAGGCATATTTACTACTTTTGTTTGTTTGTGTGGTTGGTTTTTGCTTTTAAAAATGACGATTAAAGTATGAATTAAATTAGGCCTGCAACAATTCTATTAATATTGATTATCCTGATGATTTATCAGATACAGAAAATTGGTTCATTCTGGAGATTTTTTATTTAATAAATTTTATCTGTTTTATATATATAGAAATGTCCAGGAGGTGCTTTTTAATTTCTGCTTAGATTAATTAAAATACAGTAAGAGATGCAAATGAACAAGTTGTTTCCTTTTCTGTTTTACAAAATAAAGGTTTTATTACGTAAAATATCACATTACAGCTTCCTTTAGTGAACGCTTGGTCATTTGTCGCAAAGGATGCATCTGCAGCTAAAGAAATAAATCCAACATCAACATCTCAGCTATTTCTGCTCGAGTTAACATCAGTGTTAACAATGTTATGCAGGACTGATTTGTTGATAATATTTTAAATTAACCAATAATTAGTTAGATAACAAAAGGTTTTTGATAAAGGATTGTTTAAACAGAATTTGAATCAGGTGGAACTACATCAGCCGCTTGAGGAGTTCTGGGTAGAACATTACAGACAAATACTGTAGGGATTTATTTTTATCTTAAATCCAAAGTGTTTGTATTTTACTTTTTGTGCATTTTTGTTTTAGATACTGCTCTGATTGTGTTGTTTGAGTAAAATTGCTTGTTTTTGTGTATTTACTCTACTTAGTGATTGATCAATTATGAAATTAGCTGACAATCACTTCAATAATATTATTATTGTTCCAGCCTTAGTTTCTATGTTATTAATAACACACTATCATATATCATTATATATCAGTTTACTTTTTTATATGTATATATGTTTAAAACTGTAAAATAACTGAACTAAATTTAATGCCATAGCTTTTACATCCAGATTTGATGCAAAGAAAAACAACTGTGATGTTCTATAATTGCAAAGATATTTTCTATTAATTATTTCATTCGCAATTATTTTAAAAGCTATGGACAGCAAGGGCCGTGGGTTTTTTTGTTTGGTTGTTTTGTTTTGTTTTTGTTTTTTTCTCCAATAGGTTCCTGGCTTTCTGCCTTTAGTTTTTTTTTTTTTTTTTTGCTCTTACAAAACAAAAGCCCTGCATGTCGGCTGTCAAATGTGTACATGTAGCAGTTGTGCCAGTGTGCCTTGTGTGCATGGCTGTGTGTGGGTGTGTATTCGTGTGTGTGTGTGCGTGTGCGTGCGTGTGTGTGTGTGTGGATTAGCAGAGCGGGGAGAGAGCTGGATTAGGACTACAGGAGGCAGATGGACCCACAGAAAGCAAACGACAACTCAGGATCTGACATCAACAGGGGATTTCACTGTCGCTGTGCGTTTGTGCGCATGTGCATTTCCCACATAGTGTCACTTAACACGCACGTGTCCTGGTGAAATCTGCCTCATGCTCCAACCCCTCCCTTTCTGTGAATCCCTCCTTTTTTTTCAGAGTACACTGCTTTCTTGGTACACACACACACACACGCACACACATACCCATCTGTAACTCGACATAGCCCGCAGTAAGGGTGCTGAAATAGAATTTGTTGTGTGCCTGAGCGCGTCCGTGTCACATTAACTGAAGTACAAGGCGTCTGAATATTTCAGGAGTTAGTTGGCTTTCAGTGATGCTCCATAGTTTAGATCCAAGCGGAAGGATTCAGATATGTTTTCATGTTGTTTATTCATCTATTTCATCCAATTACAGCTTAAAACGAACATGGAACATGTCGAGATTAACAAGGATGTTGAATGAAAAGGAGTAGTTTGAAGAAAAAATATCTTATATAGTCTACCCCTTCTCTCAAAAGAGGTGGACTGCCATAAGCAACTAAACATCAATCAACCATCTATATGGATACATCTTAAAACAGGCAATGTGTATATGTAAAAATAATAACAAAGAACAACAAATATTATCTTCGTAATGATTCAGCATTCTACTGACTCGATAAACTTTATTATATAATGAATTAATGAAAGCAATTACCAGGAATATTAGACTTTATCAAGAGCTGGAGTTTTGATGCTGCACCTGATATTGCAGATGAAAGGATTAAATTTATTTATGAGGATAAAATACTAATCAGGACTGTGCTGGTTCGTTTCTACCGGGAAAACATTAACGTCACTTAATACACTCAGAATCAATTACTAAAACCAAACTTCTTTTTTTTCTCATTTCAATCTACTCATGGCTAGTTAGAGTCAAAACACTAACATTAGACAACTTTGTTCATCTTTAATTAAACCCATAGTGTAAGTGCAGGCTTCCTGGCGCTTCTAAATTATGAATGCGTGATGTAGCAGATGAAAGTTTAACTCAGGGTTCTGATGGCTGCTGCAGACTTGCTGAAATGGGGCCGCGGCTCTAAAATTGTAATTTATGAGAAGGTTGCCAGAGTTCATTTGCGCAGTCGGGACCCTCAGGTCAGTCTACCCAACACTAGTGTATATTGTCAAAAGTTAACACTATGAATGTGTTAATCTAACACAGAACGGTGTCAAGTATATATTAACATAGAAATCTGAGTTTTGAAATACTACTGGCAGGGTGTGCTGTGGTGGTGCAGGGGTTATGCACAACCCACATTTGGAGGCTCTAGTTTCGCTTCACGGTCTTCCCCTTCTCTCATTACCCACTATTTTGTGTCAATTTACGATTAAATAAAAGCCACTAGAGCAATTAAAACCTTTTTTCCCCAGGAACTATTGGCCATCAATAATCCCCAAATTCATTTTAAA